GAACTAGTCTAGCTGTAGTGTTTATGTTGACAAAGTTTCAGATCAAAACTCATTAATGTAGCTTTGCTGCAAACGTGAGATTCTATAGAGAAAATTCAGTAAAACCTCGATATATTGCCAGATATAATCTATGGACACAAACTCTTTTTCGGGTATTCATAGTTCACTAAGACCTGCAAGGTGTATTAGATCCTGACTCAAAAGCAAATTTGTACCTGGGAATGTTTCCTTGTTAGTGTATTGAGGAAAGAACTAAGTAGTGATTGGTTGCTGTTTTAAAGAACTAACTTGTCATAGAAAAATCGAGCACTAGAACAAGTTATCAAAAAAAGATTGCCTAATATAGCTAGCTCTTGAAAAAAGAATTATTCAATAAAATATTTCTCAAAGAAAAAATCTTAGTCACCACACCCAATTCTCAAAGAAAAACTTCATTTTTAAATTTAGTGCTGAAAATAAGTTAGTCATTGGATCCATTTCTGATAAAAAAAAGAACGGATCACTATAGATAGTTCTTGGAAAGAAGGGTAAATCAATACATCCGTTGTCAAATAAAGAACTTGTCACCGACGTCGATGACATATAGAAAAATAAAAATAATGACAAAAGATAACGTATTATTTTATTTGACGAATTTTTAATAAATATTACATTTTTAAGACGAATTACATGATAAATAAACAAGTGATAGTCGAATACGATTTAGAAAAAAGTCAGAATAAGATTCAGCATAATGCATCAAAATGAACAGAGGTACTTTGATGATAATCACCAAGACGTATGATGCTTGGTATACTTCGAAAAAGTTGTCTTCAATTCCAAAATAATGAGCTGGAACAATAGCAAGAAAAATGAACGGAGCTAATGAACCTTCGATTAACCATTGAAGAAAATCCTGATATATTAGAGAATCATTTGTATTGAACAATTTGAGCCATGTGTAGAGGAAACTAATAAATGCATAGACGAATATCAATTTCATTTCTCGTTTCATTAAAATGGTCATAGATGAGAATCTTTTTTCTGATTCATACGTATCGAACAAATCACTTTCAATAAAATCATCGATACGACTATAATGGTGATGAAAGAATGACATAATTATCAATAATAATGGAATAACAATATAGATACCAAGAGCAGCCTCGATAGAGCGTGAAAGTACGAAATGATGGATAAGGCGAGTTTTCATACTAATATCACACAATGTTTGTTTATATTCTATTGATAAAGATTGATCCGATAATAAGATCATCGTTTCATTGAGCAATAACATTTTATTGATGAAAATAAAACTGTTTCAATTTGAAAAATACTATATAGTTCTTCAGATTCAGATGAATAACGACCTCATTTCATTTGATCGTATATATCATACAAGAGGAAAGAAAGGACAACGAATCTTTTCGCTTGTCTATTTCAATCAATAAGAATAAGAGAACGAAAGATGGCGTACATTTCTATATTTTTGACAGCGTTTCCATAAAGCATATGAATTTCGATAAACAAATATGTAAACTTCATAAAAAATTTTTAGAAATACACATATCTAGAATGAAAAAAAAAGAGTGAGAGAATGTAAATGTTTGTGAAGAAAAGTCTCATTCATATCTACACTGGGCTTACAATTTCTTAAAGCATGGCATACAACTATTTTAAACTCGAAAGAAAATAAATAAGTCCTTACACATTAAATTAGTATACAATGGCAAGTTATTTGAAAAGTCGTGTGTTGCTCAAATGCGCGTAAATTTCCATTGACAAATGTAGAGTGAGATGGGGTAAATGTAGAAGAAAAATCGAGGGTGTTTTGTAAAATGCTTATATCTTTTTTATTTTTCAATATTTTAAAAAACTTTCTTCACAAACAATGTAGAGGAATTTCTCCTCTATCTATCTATGAAATCAGTTTTCAAAAATCCTGTAGTATAAGGTAGTGGTGATGGATTTCCTGAGACCTCCATCAACATTATACATTTACCTCACTTGCAGTAAATGTATAATCGTGCCGGCGCAAATGGGGTAAATGTATAATCTCAGCTATTTTTGACTTGATTACTAAAACCACATTTATAATCGATCTGTTTGATTGTTTTAGAAAATTTTTTCGCCAATAAATAGCTGAAGATTTTCTCTACGATGCTTGACTATTTCAACTATTTTTATAATAAAGATCAAGTTTCGACAAAATTTTTTCAGAGAGCTTCAATAAAAAAATTTCTATACATTTACCACACTTGGGGTAAATGTATAATCGTGCTGCAGCAAGTGGGTGTGGATGCAGGTGGGTGTGGGTGTGGGTGTGGGTGTGGGTTGGGTGTGGGTGAGTCTAGCCTTGCTCCTTAACTACACACATGCTACACCCACATCCACACCCACACCCACACCCACACCCACACCCACACACCTACACCCACACCCACACCCACACCCACACCCACACCCACGGCGCATTGCAGTACGACACAAGGAGCTCACTGCGACACATTTTGTACGACACATGCGACACATTTTCTATTGGTTATTTTCGAAAAGCATAATTATTTCAATTTTTTTCTGTTCAATATAATTCCATTGAATTATTTCTATGGTGAAAACTCTAGCAGGTTAGATCCTGAGATCTGTCCTGCTTCGAGTTGATCTGATTTGCATCAGACGACTCCAATGTAGTCCTTTCTCGATGAATCGAGATTGGCATTTTCTCGACAAAGACTATCGAGAAATAATTTAGAAAAAAAAGAATATTTTGAAAGTTCATCTTTCTTACGTTCAACCACGTTGTTTATATATCGTCATGTCTGCATAATAAAAGGGTGAACGACTAGTTAGCAGACAGAACGCAAAAAATTTGTGTGCGACACATTCTGTGCACGACACATTTTTCTGCTGGAGTGCACGACACAATAATTCACGACACATAAGCACGACGCATTTTAATTTAGTGTGCACAACGTGAAGCTCTGGATAGAAAATTTCGAGTGGGTATTAGAATAGTACATAGGTGTCCGTATGTAAAATCAAATGATTTATTTGTAATAACAAATGAAAAACCACTCAAATTCTACGCGCTGAAATATATTAAGAAGAGACTGAAGAATATTTACAAGTCTGATTTATGTCGATCAATTGTTTTAGAAGACATTTTCTATTGGAATCAGTTTAGGAAAAGGGGAAAAGACTTGTTAGGTCAATTCTTCAGATTAAATAGAGTGAAGAAAATGATGAATAAGCATGAAACGTTATTAATCAAATGGATTGAGTTCGCGTATGGATAAAAAATTGTGTGTCATTTCCCTCTGTCCCCTTGAATGATTATATAAAATAAGGAAAGTGGAAGGAGGCCTTGCCTATGACAAGGAGAATCACGGCGCCTAACCCCATTTATTTCCTTTTATTCCTTTCTCTCTTCGTTTTCCCTCTTCCTTTTTTCCCCTTGTAAGCACTTCAGACTGTAACAATAAAATGCAGAAACAAAAAAAAAAACATACCTACATTCACACCCACACCCCACCCACACTCACCCACACCCTTCATTTCATGTTACATTATTGTCTATCAATTTTTTGGCAATAACGACAACACATATGGGATGTGCATTTCATCTATTTCATTACATTCAGCTTTTCTTCAAGTTATTTTTTTTTCAAACACATTCCCCGTAAAATTCTGCATCTGTATAAAGCAACCCAGTTAGTCTACTCAGTTTTCTCTTATAAACATGTTCACGATAATCACTCAAAGAACAAAGAGAAAACGAAGAGGAGGACTCATGTCCTTTGAATCGGCTAAAAATTGCCGATTAATCCCGATTCATCGAAACGATAATCGTGAGCTGAATCGCGATAGAATCGCCGATTATTTCCGATTATTTCAGCGATTTTTACGATAAATCGTGATTTTATGCAAGATTTAACCGTCTGTTTACTGATATTTTCTACTATTTCATTGGTTCTTTTGGAGACACATATTTGGATTTTTTCTTGAATTTAATTCAATTTTTTTTGTTCTCAAGATCCAAGCCGACCAGATCGTGCGATCTGTCCGATCTCGAGCTGGTCCGATTCTTATCAGACCGCTTCAGTGTAGTCCTCTCCAGATCATGGATCGAGATTGGCATTTCCTTCATTAAAAATAACCAAGAAACAATTTATCAGAAAAGTATATTTCGAAAACTTATTTGTTATGCATTGAATGGCGTTGTTTATATATCCGTGTGTGTTCATAACAAAACGGTGAATGAATAATTGTCATGATTTATCAATGATTTTTGAAAATCAGCTCTTCTCCCATAATCGCGATAAAATCTGATATAATCGTCGATCTTTTAAAGAAATACGATAAATCACGATTTTACGCCAATTTTTTAGAAAATCGCGAAAATCGCGGTGATTCTCACGACATGGGGACGGACTTTTTCTTTGGTAAGATAAAACCATTGTTTGGCGAGAGAGTTGTTGATTTTGATTCGTTAGCACATATGACTAATAGTGAGAAAATGATTTTTTTTTTCTTTCTGCTGTCGCCATCACTTCAGTTACTAAGTTTCCTTTTTATTCTTCACAATAAGAGAAAACAATCACTTATCTGAATAGAAACTAGTGACATAAAGGCAAATAAACTCACTTTTATCAGTTTCGTTTGCGTTGGAGGATAAATTGCATTCACTTTTCTCTGACACGATGGTAAATGAAGACCGTCGGCAATACAGAAAAAAAAGCTTTTTTTTCATCCCGTCAAACGCAATTCTGATGAAAGTACAAAGAGAAATTCGATGTTTCGCTCAGCATAGCGTAAAGAACAGAGTCGGAAGAAATGCTTTTTGCTGTATCACTGTGATTTGATTGTGTTTTTTCCAACCAATCGCTCAATTGCTAAAAAAAATATTACAGTGACACAATCATTTTACAATATTAAATATGCAATATGATCTTGTCATTATATTTTGTCTCTCCTTGTTCGTTCGAATTGGTCATGTGCAAGCACGACATTTACATGACTCTGCAATGCTGAAAAATAGAGATGAGTTTCAATTGATTTGGTTGTATAATGCTCTGGATCAATCGAATAGCACTCGTTTTAGTCAAGAATCTGTATATGCATACGATTCAACTATTCAATTTTTTACTGATGTATACCAATGCTTTGAAAGGATTGATGAGATAGACAATCGAAAAGTATTTTTGATCGTTTCTCACTCGCTTCAGTCAGATGTTCTCTGGCGAACCGGATCACAGCTGAACATCTTCGCTGTTTTCATTTTCTCGGATACGTATTCGATCGACTACATTTCATCCGAGAAGCGGAAGATTGTGATTGGTACGTATAGTGATCCAAAATCCTTACTGAATGCAATCTATGAAAATATGAAACTTGTTGGCAGACAATTGTCAACATTAAAACTATTCGACCAAGAAAAAACAATGATTCGATCTGTATCGAAGGATTCGACGTTACTTTTCAAGTTCCAACTTCTAATCGATCTCTTGAGAAGAATTCCTCAAGATAGTCGAGCGAAACAAGATCTGATTGATGTTTGGACCGGCTACTCTCGAAACAACACTCGTGAACTGCAAGCTATCCAAAAATTTCATTGGAATTATCAACGAAAAACTGCCGTTTTCTGGTATACATCAAATAGTTTCCTCTATCGACTTGTCAACGAAGCATTTCGTACTGAAGACATTGAATTGATATATTCGTTTCGTTTAATCATTATTGATTTGTGTATTGAAATCGAGCAGCGATATAGAAATATGAAAAATGACAGCACATTGATCCTCTATCGTGGACAACAGATATCGGATCAAGCTTTTGACGATTTCCGAGCAAATATTGGTAAAATTATTATCATCAATGGTTTTCTGTCCACAACGCGAAACATTGACAGGGCATATTGGTTCATTCAAGAGAGAAGAAAATCAGCACAGCAACGCCCAGTGCTCTTCAAAATTCGAGTCAATTCAACTTTAAAAACCGTCCAATTCGCTGACATTAATGACTTGAGTGAGATGGACGATGAAGACGAAGTTTTGTTCAGTCCAAATCCGACTTTCATAGTAGAATCTGTGCAATTTTCTGCAAAATCCGACGTTTGGATTGTTGAATTGACTGGTATCGATAACGGGATGGGAATTATAGATGAGTACATAAAAACATCTCAAGAACAGATTGAGAGTTTTAGCTTGCCCATCGTTTTCGGTCGAACACTTTTACATGAATTGAGGCTACTCGATAAAGCAGAATGGTATTTTGGCATGCTGCTTGAAACTCTCCCTA